GTGTATTAATTAATAATACTGTCAATGTATTATTAACTAATGACTCAACTCGGAAGCAACATTGCAGACAGCCATACATTACAGATTCTAAATTAGGTAAATCTGCCAAATCCACTGGTAGAAGTGTCAAGGGAGAAGTGGTTTCAAGGCATTGCAACTCCACTCGAATTAGCTTAAGGTGACTGTGCTGGCTTGCTTACCTGGGAGGATGCAAGCATGCAGATGCCACTTGTCTCAGGCACGTTAATAGCACATGAAGTCTCCTGCCCTCTGGTTTTCCTCTACGTGTTGGTTTCATTCTCTTACCATGCAGTCTTTCCCTCCATTGTGAGTACGATGGCTGTTGACAGCTCCCAATCTGTGTTCTTCAAACTTTGTGATCCAAAAAGGAAAGGTGCTTTTTTCCTCCACTTAAATCTTTAAAATAAATGAACAAATTGCAGGGAAGAATTCTCTGCCCAATGCTTGAAGTCAGGGGAATGGGGCCCTTTGAGTGGGCAGACATGGATCAAGGAGACAGAGTTTGGGGACTGGCTGCCCCACGAGAATTTCCCAACTGAGTGAAGGAAGAGGCAGTTGGAGCAGTTCTACAAAAGCAAAAGGCCTGGGCAGACACAGCGACAGCTGTCACTATGGGTACGAGGGAGGAAGAAGAGGGTGATGATGAAGAGTCTTGCTGTCCTTATGAACTGCCCAAGGTCTCTTCATTAAATCAGCCACTCTCCTGTTTACGGTCAGTGTGACCATCATCTTGGTTTGCCCAGGGCAGTCCTATTTCATGCCTGTTTTCCTGGCATAATTATTAAAATCATCCCTTTTCATTTTCAAAAGTGTCTCAGGGAATTCCCTGGTGGTCCACTTCCATTGCAGGGGGCACGGGTTTGATCCCTGATCAGGGAACAGATCCTGCATGTCGCGCAGCACGGCCGAAAAAAAAAAAATAGCGAGAAGTTCAAAAGTGTCTCAGTTTGGACAACTAATTAGTGACTGTAAATAAGACCCATTAGCTATTTGGCTTCAGTCACCCAACCCGTCTTAAATCACTACTCCTTTGACTCAGGTGAACTTTGATTTACGCTTTGATCACCCCTCTGCCTTTTCTTTCCAACCCCAGTGCCTGATGGTCTCCAACTGGAGCACTTCTCAGGACATACATATTCTTCTTTTTTTTTTTTTTTTTTGCGGTACGTGGGCCTCTCACTGCTGTGGCCTCTCCCGTCGCGCAGCACAGGCTCCGGACACGCAGGTTCAGTGGCCATGGCTCACGGGCCCAGCTGCTCCGCAGCATGTGGGATCCTCCCGGACCGGGGCACAAACCCGCGCCCCCTGCATCGGCAGGTGGACTCTCAACCACCGCGCCACCAGGGAAGCCCAGGACATACATATTCTTACCACCTTCTTCCGTATTACTGGTCACCTCACATTCTTCTCCTCCCAGGAATATTCTGGATTTTAAATGGTGGTGACGAAGACTTTATAATCTGTCTATCTGCTCCAAGCACCTGCGGTAGCAGAATCTTCCTTCCAGGAATTGCTCCAAGTTAAATGTCCTGTCACTTTCCAAATAGTCCTGTTTCTGCCTGTGCTTTTGTTTCCTCAGAATACAAGTCCCTCCTCAGAGGTCAGCCAGGCATGGCTTCATGTTTCCTGTTCTGGTGTGCAAACTATGATAAATGGGGTAAGGGTGAGGATGGATAAAGCAAAGAACACAGTGTGATGATGGTGAAAGAAAAAAAAAATCTTGGTAATGCACTTGTGGTGGTCTCCCTCGAATACAATCTAAGAAGGGAGCATCCTTTGTCAGCTTGGCCTGTTACCTCCCGGCTATGGTTGTGTCGATCAGGTGGAGGTAGAGAAGAAAATGGACAAAGTAGAACACAATCTCAATTTCTAACTGAGAAAGGATGAGGTAGGGAGGAGAAGAGCCAACAAGACGAGGCGCACAGAAACGGGAGGGGGCAGTGTGGAGGCCCCGTATGTTCCAGGGTCCACCCCGACACTGTATTCCCTCTGAGTGAATGGTGTTCCTACCCCTTCACCTTCTGCAGCACGTGCGTGATGTAAGCAGTGCTCCCTGAGGCTCTGCAACTTGCCAGCCCGAGTTGGGTGGGGAGAGGAGATGTCTGGTGTTTGCATTTGAAGATTTGATAAAAAGACACAGCTGCTGAGAAGAGAAGTAGTTGGGGGAGACAATGTGAGTTTTTCATTTATTCAACAAATAATATATATTTGGCCTCTGCTCTGTGCCAGGCACTGTTATCAACTCTGGGGATTTGGCAGGGATGTATATAGCATCTGTGAGATAAAAGGAAAAATATATATAGTGGTCTCTGCCCCTGGTTCCTGGCACAGAGCTCCTAAAACCCTTGTAATTTCTTTTTTTTGCGGTACGCGGGCCTCTCACTGTTGTGGCCTCTCCCGTTGCGGAGCACAGGCTCCAGACGCGCAGGCTCAGCGGCCATGGCTCATGGGCCCAGCCGCTCCGCGGCATGTGGGATCTTCCGGGACCGGGGCACGAACCCGTGTCCCCTGCATCGGCAGGCAGACTCTCAACCACTGCGCCACCAGGGAAGCCCCCCTTGTAATTTCTTAAGTGTTAAGGATACTAGGAGCATCTCTTGTTCTAATGAGCTGACTCTGACTGGGCTCCTGGATGGTGGATGGTCACCAGAAAGACCAAGCAATGATTAGGAGCTTTGAATTTTTAGTTTCCCCACCCATCTTTCAGAGAGGGGAGAGGACTGGAAATGGAATTGATAATTGATCACACATTCATGAGGAATCTTCCATACAAATCCCACCGGTAGGGGCTTCTGAGAGCTCCAGACCAGTGAATTTGTCCACACTGGGAGGGTGATGCACCCCACCTCCACGGGGACAGGAGCTCCTGTGCTCAGGACCCTCCCAGACCTCACCCTCTGTATCTCATCATCTGGCTGTTCTTCTGTATCCTTTATCATATCCTTCAGCAAGAAATGTGTTTCCTGGAGTTTTGTGAGCTGCTCTATCTAGCAAGTTAATTGAACCCAAGGAGGGGGCCCTTTGGAATCTCCAGTCTATAGCCAGTTGGTCAGAAGCACGGGTGATAACCTGAGTTTTCTGACTGGCATCTGAAGTGTGTGTGTCTGTGAGATGGGGTTAGTCTTTTGGGACTGAGCCCTTAACTTGTAGGATTGATACGATCTCCAGTTAGATAGTGCCAGAACTGAGCTGAATTCTTGGACACCAGCAGTTGTCCAAGAACTTGTTGGTGTGGGGAAAACCTCCACACACTTGGTGACCAGAAGTGTCAGAAGTGAAGAGCTTTGTGTACGAAGTGAAGGAGACTCCCAGGGAAGAAATACATTGTAGGGAAGATCCGGATTTTCCCTTACGCAGGTGGGAAGCTGACTTTTTTCCATTTTAGCATCTATATGTATACAGTAGAGCACTCTGTTCTAGCAGAGCAGAGTGAAAGTGAAAGGGGACAGACAATAAACAAATGTAATAAAATATAAATTACATAGCATTTTGGGTAATGACAAGTGTTATGAAAAGAATGTAGAGTGGGTAAGGGAGATCTGGAGGGCTGGAGTTCAGGGAAGGTGGTTACAAATTTAAAATGAGCGGTCAGGGTAGGCTTCAGAGAGAAGACGACATTTGAGCGAAAACTTGGAGATGAGGGAGAGAGGCAAATATCTGGTAGAAGAGGGCTGTTCCCTCTTCCAAGGAGAGGGAACAGCCCTTGCCAAGTGCTTGAAGAGGATGTGTGTCTGGTGTGTTCAGAAGCAGCAAGGCCAGCGTGGCTGAAGGTGGCCGTGGAGCGGGAGATGAGGTGAGAGAGGAAGCGGGAGCAGGCAGGGGATGCAGGCTTGCTTTGAGGTCATTTAACTTTGCGAGACACAGGAGGCCTAGGCTTCCCAGAGGAGGGTTTTAATTGCATCTCTGCCTGATGCATCTTGATGGATATTACACAATACAACTCCTGCAAGATATCTTCAGTATTTGTGTTTCTTTTGAATGTGACACAGTGCTAATTCCCTGGACACTGTGTATTCATTCAGGTTGCAATAGGCTCTGCTTACAGGGCAGGGCTTTCCACAGAGAGGCACCTGTTGAATGAAGGAATGAATCAATGAATGAACAAATGAGACTAGACCTCCAGGTAGGTCCTCAACCTATTATTTCCACTTTATTGCCCCACACTCTTTCTGGACTTGGATTCTAGTCAGCTGCCTGCACTTTCAACTAGATATTTCTGCCTCTGTCTTCGCTCACCCCATTTCCCCCTACTTGAAAGGCTCTGACCAAACCCTCTCCACTTGATTCGAATTCTATCTGTTGTTAAAGACCCAGGATATGCTCCACTTCCTCCAGGAAGCCCCTCTAGACCCTCCGGCCTTCATTGCCTTTTCTGAACTCCTATAGCATCATTCTTCTGATAGCTTTTTTTTTTTTTTAATTTAAATTTTTTTACTTTTTTTGGCTCTGCCGTGCAGCTTGCGGGGATCTTAGTTCCCCAACCAGGGATTGAACCGCAGGCCCACAGCAGTGAAAGCGCCGACCCCTAACCACTGGACCACCCAGGGAATTCCCCTGATACCTTTCATTAGTTCAGCCTGTTGCACTGGATAACTTTTTGGTGTTTATTTAAAAACTGCTGTTTGCCCTCTTTCTATCTGTAGGCAACGAATACATAAATGCTAGATCGTATGGATATGATATATCACTTTTGTTTTATATAAGCTGACTGGATAGGAGAGGTTCAGACTTGGCTGACCTCACGCAATTAATAAACAGGGAGTGACCCGGGACCAGGACCTAAGTAGTAGCCCAGGCAATTCATAGGCATTGTCCCACCTATTCACACAAGGGTTAACCCAGCATTTCCTTTCCACGCCCTGTTAACTCCACCCCCTTCCCCGTGAACCAAAAGCGGAGCGGTCAGGGAAGCTTGTCCCTTGCGGGATGCCGTAGGGGCCCGCCCTCAGCTGCTCTGGGCCCGCCCTCAGCTGCTCTGGTCTGGTCAAACATGGCGGCCTCCGAGTCAGTGGCGGCGAATCCAGGCACTGCGGAGGGCGAGGAGGAGACGATTCTCTATGACCTGTTGGTCAATACCGAGTGGCCCCCGGAGACAGAAGTACAGGTGAACCAGGCCCCTCCAGGGCTGAGGCCAGCTTGGTGCGGGCGCTGCCCCGGCAGAGCCACGTTGCAGTAACCACGTAGGAGAGTGGAGCTGGGTGGGCGGGGGAGCAGGACTCCGCCGCTTATGCGGTCGCCCTGGCAACGGTACCGTGGGCTAGCGAGGGTCTGGGTCCCCCAAGTGGGATTTCCTGGGATTCCTCCTGGGCTCCAAATTAGGATGTCGGGGGGCGGAACCTCGGTCCCTGAGGGATGTACCTCCCCACGCTGGTTTTGTTTCACTGCTCCTACTTGGAGGGGAGGCACAGCGTTGGATTCGAGGGTCCTTCTCATATCTAGACTCTTGGTGGTCCCTTCCCGTGGGCCGGCTAGGGCTGGGCAAGGCTGATCCTCATCTGAAGTGGGAGGATTTTCCAGGACACTACAGTCCATCTCAGCATCTGCTGGGCTGTCGTGGAGCGCGGCATCAAACCTTTGCTCCTACTTGGGCCTGAATTTCGCCGGTTCTTGTGTATTTCAGTATGTAAGCATTTAATGAGTGTATGTGTGTGTGCGTCCGTGTTCCAGACACAGTGCCAGGCGGTGGACTTACAGAGGTGAATAGCTTTCGTGGTATTTGTAGTCTAGTGGGAAGACAGTGGAGTAAACGTTTTTCATCGCCTACCGTAATATGCGCTGTAATAGCGGTGTGAGCAAAATGCCTTGGGAAGTGAAGATTTATGAGCTACGGACCCGGCTTTGGGTTCTCTGTTAAAAAGGGGTCGTAGGGGTTGGTAATCTGGACCTTGGAGTTATTAGTTTCGTAGAGAGGACCCCCCAGGCACAGAATGAAGAGTAAGAACCAGGAATCCACATTTATTCAACAGCTATTTTATGAGTCCCTAACGTGTGCCAGTCACTGCTTTGGGCTCAGAACACGCAGGAAGATCGGAAAGGACTTTCTGTAAAGATCATGGAGCCCAGCCCATATGAATTCTTATTTACAACGTCTTTTCTGAGTTTCTTTACTGGAGAAAGTACTCATTCTCCTGCTTTGTTTCTATCTGTAAGTAGTTTTTTTTTTTTTTAATTTATTTATTTAGGCTGTGCCAGGTATTAGTTGTGGCATGCAGACTGTTAGGTGCGGCATGCATGCGGTCGACCAGGGATCGAACCTGGGTCCCCTGCATTGGGAGCGCGGACCCACTGGACCACCAGGGAAGTCCCTATAAGTAGTTTTTAAATACTGGTAACTTGTACCCAGTACTCTGAGTATTAGTAAAAAAACGTAACTTATTGTATAAGTATTACTAGAAAATTCTCAAATGTGTTTGTTTTTGTTTTTCCATTTGCAGCCTAGAGGCAACCGGAAACATGGTGCATCCTTTATCATCACAAAAGCAATTAGGGGTAAGTATAGCACATTTATTTTTCTACATATAATGATACAGTTAGCCGATAATTTTTTTCTCATTCTTTTCTATTCATAACTGCTGTTTTAGGAAGTTTAGGGATTTGAAATGTGTTCTTCTGAGTTTTAATGTAGAGCCTGATTAAAAATGAATAGCATAAATGTTATGTAAGCTTTATTTTATAAAAAATGCATATATACATATATGATATATATGATATGTGTATAAATATACATATGTGCGTATATACACATATGTATGCATATGTTTACACACATACATTTTTAATGCGGCTTAAAGTATGGCCTGAGTTTAACCATTATGGATGTGTTCTGGAAGAAATGAAGAAAATCAAACCCACTCAGAGAATCTACGGACATCGACGGTTAAAAGGGAGTGACAGACCGTTTTAAGTGTTTTACATGATGTTTCAGATACATCTGTTTAGAGTCACTCAGATTACAAATTTGATTAACCAGGACATTCGTTTAACTCCCGACAGACTTTATGTATGAGCTCACGAGATCTGAGAAAGTATTGAGCACTAGCTGATTAAGCTGGTGTTACGAGGGCTTTATGTGTATTTATTGATGCAATGCTTTACCAGACCAACAAGGTAGATGTGTTAGGAATTTATGTTTTTAGATGAGGAAACTTGCCCAAGGTCATGCATTTGGATTGACTACATTTCTTTCTGGATCCAAAGCCCATCCTTATTATACTGGGGAATTTCAGCTACTTATAAAGAGAAGGTTCAGTTTCAAAGGAGTTGAGGACTTGAAATTAACTCTAATTTTATCTTCTGATAAAGATAAAATAGTTTTATCTTCTGTTACAAGAAGTACTAGCATGTTCAATTTTCATTATCACAAATGTGAAATTTTGAAAATTTAGGAAATGTACACAAGTAATAAAATGTACAAAGTTTAGAGAATATAGACAACCACAAATTAGAATAAATAATTCCTTACTTTACCACCTGGAGATAATCTCTTATCCTTCAGACCTTTTGCTATTGATACATACATAACCATGTACACAGGTTCACACATGATTACATTTTAAATGGAATCATATAAAACATTGCTTGTCCATAGTGTGTTAGAGATTTTGTTTCCCATGGACTTCCCCATTTTAGGCAATATTATTTTTTAAGTCTTCGCTATAAAGTGAAAAATGGTATCTTAACCTTTATACAAATACTTAGGTTTTAATGGGTGATTACTATGACTTCTACTCCATGGTTTTATTAAAGCCTGTTAGGAGAAATTTAGCATCTCAAACCACTTTTACTTGTTGTACTGTTAGGAAATACTTCAAAGTTCTTTGAATAACACAAACTTGGGACTTAATATAAACCAATATATGATGTAAAAGTTATAGTGTATATTAGATTATATTTATTCTTGTCAAGAGTTGTATTCTCTATGTTTTGTTTTGTTTTGTGATGACTCAGTCTACAGTATATTTCAGGTTTATTATCAATAAATCTAAAATTGAAAATGATTCCTAAAGAATAGCTCATTCATATTTGGCTTTGCTGTTTCTTTTTATTACAGATCGTTTATTATTTTTAAGCCAATATATCTGGTACAGGTGAGTCATGAATTCTTCAGAGAAACAGTATGAACAGCAAATACAAACAATATTATTTGTATTTATGATTTAAGTTTTCAGAATTGAATCCCAGATTGTGATATGGATACTGACATTCAGGTGAACCCAATTTATAAGATAGACCTTTCAAACATTTGGCCTACCCTGACAAGATCTCTCAGTAAAAGTAGGGTACTTTTTGATCCCTTAGTCATTATTAGGAATATCTCACAGCAATTTCTACCTTCTCTCAGTGTTCTCAGCCTTATCTTGAATGCCCACATGATGGATCTGTGCTTGTGTATCTTTTTAAAAGCCTTTTTGTTCTTATTGTTATATCGACTCTTGTGGTTAATATTCATTCAGTTGCTATGCATCAGGGAAGGTTCTTTAGGTTTCAGTTCTTGGGAACTTCTTAAGTCTTTTGAATGTTAAGTGTGTTTTTAGGCCTGGCGCTAATATTCACCTTTAAAAGGAACAGTGAAATGATTATTCTGACCAAGATGCATGTGTAGGAATTGTTTTATAGAATTATTTACCACAGATTGCCTTTTACTCAAGGACATCTAATCTTAAAAGCTCCAGAGATAATAGAGTTCTAGTTCTATAAAAGGGACCTTTGGCTCTTCTCTGAGGTTAGCTCCAGTGCTTTTCTGCTTTTACTGTGTGTGTGTGTGTGTGTGTGTGTGTGTGTGCATAAATTAAATTCCTTATTGAATTTTATCTTATTTTTGGGGGTGTGGGGTGTGATAGAGAACTGAGTGAGGGAGAGGGTAGAGGTGGGGAGGGGAGTGTAAGAGCTAGGCTGTTTTTCCTGGTGTCACCGGGCTACACTTGCTAGTGCTGAGCACCCGTGGAAAGGGTTGGCAGAAGATATGTCTGTTTGGGTCACTCCTTGACAGTAAGTCCTTTTGTTATTTGTTAAGAAGGAGGACTTCCAAGTGCTCCCTCTGATACAAGCCTTGCCCAATGTGTAAACGCCTTAAGATCAGGCACCAGGAGGTATGTTTCTCCCAAGAAGTCCCTTTCCTTGCATTGGCCATATTGATCAGTGTACAGACCATCAGTGAGCACACCATGAGGTGATTATCTCGTCTTCCCTGTGGTATGTTTCTTTCAAAAAGCTTGTAGTTGAGTTTTTTTGTTTTTTGTTTTTTTTTGTAGTTGAGTTTTTTGCTCTTGAGTTTATGGTAATTGTACCTAAAAGGTTTCGGGGCCAATATTTCTTTCAAGAGGCTTTTTCTTTTCAAGTTTTTTTCTTTCAATCATGAAATACTATAAACAGACTGAGAATTATAGACAATAATATAATAAACCTGTTACGATTTCTGTCCACATCTGAATTAAAGCAGTTGTTGCTGTTCTGCCGTGTTTGCTTCAGAGGATAGACCTGTTGTTCTTTGTATGCAAGATGTTACAGCTCAGGTCCTCTCCCCACACTCTGCCCAACCTTTCCCCACCCTTCCCCTCCAGAGGGAGTTATCATTCTCATGTTGATTGTATCATTCACCTGCATGTTTCATCTTTATTATTTCTGTAACTATCTGATGGCATTAAATATTTTATGTTTTAAAAATGAACATGAATATACTGAATGTAAATTACTAATATTTTTTTATCCTATTTTGTGTTTTTATTATTTTTTTTCATTTTCCTGTCCCCACCTCCCCAGTCAAATTATTTTCTTTCTGCTTCTTTTCCACCTATTTTCTTGATTTCTTCATGTGTTACTCCTCTAATTTATCTCCTGATTCACATATGGTGGATCATTTCCTTATATATTTTGTGAATGATGCTATCGTGAGCTTATGCCTGGGCATCTTGTGTCACGTGAGTAAAGTGAAATCGCAGTCCAATCTTGCATTCAGTAAAAGCTTGGGGTTTTGATTTTTTCATAGGTTTCATCCCCATCCCCCCACAGACCAGAATTCCAGGCGGAGATGAGATTCTGGAAGGTCTCCCTGGGCCTGTGGTGACGTTTGTCTAGTTCTTCCTTCTCTGATAGCAGTGCCATTTGAGAGTCCTGGCCTTTGCAGGAGTCTCACCTCCAGCTGCTGTCCTTCCTGTGGCCCACAGCTCATTTCCTCTCCCAGGTGTTAACTCTCATTTTGAGTTCTGTTTCTCTCTTTGTCCTGTACCCGATCCTGACTTTCAGTTCTCTTTGCATTTGTAGTTCTTGGAGATTTCTTTCTTGTGAGTTTAGCTGTACATTAGAATATGTTTTCATTAGAGTTGAGCCAGAATTTCTAGGTGTGCATTGCAGGAGGGGTTTCTTTCTTTCTTTTTTTTTTTCTTTTTTGCAAAGATGTCAAACATTTCTTAGAATTTTTTTTTTAACATCTTTATTGGAGTATAGTTGCTTTACAATGGTGTGTTAGTTTCTGCTTTATAACAAAGTGAATCATTTATACATATACCTATGTTCCCATATCTCTTGCATCTCCCTCCCTCCCAAGGAGGAGTTTCTTATAAGCTCATTCTGCTATGTTACTGGCACCCTCAGTATCTTCTCCTTAGAAAAAATAAAAAATTTATTTCATTGAACACATCACCAGGTTTTTTTGGAAATAGAGAAATGTATGTGGTCAAGTTTCAGATGTCCAATTAGTAAGTTTTGGTTTTGGGTTTGCCAGTATTCAGTTTTTATATTCTAATGGAAAAGAATCCTTATCGCTTGCCATAGATCTATATGTTATTTATAATGTTTACCTACTTATACGTGGTTTCCGTGATTAGATGTTAAGTTAGCTGATGTGTTGTGGTTTCAGCCCTGCACCTTTTCTGCTCCCTGATGGACTAGTTCGTTTGGTTAATAAACAGGTGAACTGGCATTCGGTACTTGCAAGGTAAGAATGCATAAAATTCACATAATGTTCCTCTGCCTGGGCAACCATTTAAATTCCATTATGGATATTAATTTTGGTGTCCTTATGGCTTGCAGTCTCGATTTTTATTGTATATAAATTCCCTGTGCCACATATGATTAGTATTGTTTAAATGTGTTAATTCAACTGTATTGAGTTATTTTGTATGCTTTTTGTATCTATATACTCATCTAATTATAAAGTCAAAAAGTTGGATAATTAAAGATATGAACAAATTTGAAAATGATTTTAATTTCTTAAAATGATTCCATCTGTGGTGAAGATGGCTGCAAATACTCACATAGGAATTTGTTTCTCTTTCTCTCCCGTGAAAGCAATGGGAAGCTTTTGGCTGCTGTTCAAGATCAGTGTGTGGAGATCAGGTAACTGTTACTATTATTCATATTCAAAATTTCCCTTGAGAAAAGTTTTACCTAATTTATGAGAACTAAGATTTTTAAAGGGGGTATATCTAAAGGAATTTTATTAGTAACTCACGTAATTTTGTAAGGTGTCAAGCACCAGCTTGTGCCAATTGAAGGATGAAGGATGCTTTCTCAGAGTATGCCTTCTGCTTCCCCAGGTCACTCTGCTGTCTCCTGAGAAATTTTACTTTCTCAGTAGACAAAGGCGTATCTTCCAGAACTCTGAAAATCACTCTTGCTTGACCAGTTACTGCTAAGACAGCTAAGCAGATGCTCAGGAAGGTATACAAAAAATAGAGGTTGCTTTACTTGTTGGCAGAAAGCTGTAGATGGAATATGGGTTTGCAAAACACTAAGGCTTCACGTTACTGGAGACCAGTGATACTCTCTGTCCTCTTGAGACATCAGTGGCATTACACACATCTAGAAGAAGTCTCTAAGTTGGGCTTTCCATGTACTTCATTTTTAAGTAGTATATCAGTTGTGAAAGCAATAGCAACAATAGCAACTAATTTAGGAAAACTAGTTGATTTTCTGGGAAATTATCAGCAGGAAGCCAAATGTGTTGCATCTCTGAAAGTGGGGGCTACTCCTTTCTTTAGGGAAGCCCTAACTCTTGAGTCTCAAAAGATAAGCACTGAGGCAGAAATTTCAGGTTGCCTAGATACCAGTCAAAAGTTTTTTCTACTACTTTATTATTGAGTAAAACTAGTATTAATGAGCATTCAGTTGTTAGCACACTGGTTTTAGCTTTCTGCTTGTGAAATTTCTTTTTCCATTTATCCAAATGGAACTGGACCCCTCAACTTTTGGGAGAGTAGACAAGAGGGTTTGCCCCCATTGGGGCACCGACTTCAGATTGGGAGGCTCCGTAATCCTTCTTAAAACTATCAGGATAGAAATGATTGGCAATAATGACAGCCTTTCAGAACTTCATTTCTTCATCTGGCATGGCTTTAATAGGCAGGACCCTTTTCTCTAAGAGCAACAGTGAGCATCAGGTGGCACAGTGTTTGAACTGATGTTGTTCATAGAAATGGGCTAGCATTTCCTACTCCATTTGCTGCAATGATGTCAAATTTTTTTCTTTTTTGGAGAAACGTGCTCATCTGTGACTTCTTTATGAACAGCAGATAGTAATCAAAATTTCCATCTTCTTTCCATGAAATGAGAACATTAATGGAATGATTTTAGGTGTTAAGGTCGGAATATGCATGTGGAGATGGGATTGATATTTAGGCTTGTGAAGGAGAGTTTGACAAAAGGTTTCTGGAACTTGTTAATAAAAACTGTGATGAAAAGAAAAAATAATTGTTTGCTTTTGTAAGAACATTTGCTACTGGATTGCTAGTGTGTAAAATTATATTTATAAAACTTATACATATATCCAGCTCTTTAGGAATTCACTCATGAATTTGAGATTAAGTGGTGAGGGAAGATTTCTGGGCAACAGAAGTGATGCTCATCAAGGTCTTACTCATCTGGTCTGTAATTTGCAAAAAAGCTTTGTAACTTATTATATTCAAAGACTCTGGTATGGTGAAGAGTCAGCTCTCTCAGGAAGCCTTACAGGAACTCATTCCCAGAGGATCCCCCTTCCCCTCATTGGTTAGGTGCTGATCCTTTATGTTCCTATAATAATTAACACATTTATTATACTTAATGATAAGGTAATGCTAACAACGTTGGGCACCACTGTGTTCGTTTTTTTTTTTTTTTTAACATCCAGCATTGTGTGTTACATGTGTTAACTCAATCCTTGCAGAAGGCCAGTGAGGTAGGTATAACTATTCTCTATTTTAGAAATAAGGAATCTGGCACAATGTGGTTAAATAACTTGCCCAAGGATTTGAAATCAGCCATCCTAGCTTCATTGTTCATGCTCTTATCTACAAACCTATACTACCTTTTGATCATGCCTTTTAGCCATCTATGCCCATATGCTTATATGTGGATTTCCCCCAGTATATTTAGGGCCATTGCTTTGCACAGCTCCAGGGGTGCCATTTGCTTGAAACTCAAGTGATGGGGTTTGAAGTCTACAGCTCCATATACTGTGTGTTCCTGGGAGGCATGGGCTGTCCTTTTTTCCTAGCACTTGTATATTTCCTTGGATGTAATAGGTGCTTAGTTTATGTTTAATGAGTAAGTGGTGTGTTTGCAAGTGGGACGGGGAAGCAGATGCTGGGAGGGCATTACAGGGCAAGCCTGCTGACTTGCTCGGAGTTGGCACTCAGTTGATTTTGTTGAAAATAGACACCCACACTTACTTTGCAGTAACCTGAAAGGAAGTGTCTTTGAGCAAAGATGTGGGATGGTGAGCAAAGAAAAAGGGCAAGGTAGATCCCCGAAGTCAATGCTATGAATAGTGGCTGCGCCTGAATAATATTTAAGACGTTTGTTCTCTCTTCTCTCTACGTGTCTTCTCTACCACAGTGAAGAGCACATACAATCTAAGTTGGCTCCAGAAATAATAGTAGTGGGCACCCAGTATTCAGTAAATATTTGTTGAATGGATTAGAAAATGAAAGATAATTACAGTATCTGGGGTTGTTATTCAATGTTAGGAAGCAGTTATAAATGTGAAATGGTTTTTGTGGAAAACATGCAAAGCTGAAACACACTTTAGTTTAGGAGACAGCTCTGCCTTTTGCAGGATAGGACTGGGGCTGCTCTTCTCCAGCTTTAGTTCTGTGATGAGTGGCAAGTGACTCTAACAGCTAATGTGGCGTACTTAACCTGCTTGTGCGTGGCCCTCACATGGGTGAAAGGTGACTTGTGATTTGCTACTTTAATTTGTAACTTGGTGGTGGTTATGGATTATCAGTGGTTAATATATGTTATAAATATGGGAACTAATAAGAAACCATCACAGAATACAACAAAAAGCATTAAAATAGGGGACTCTTATAAAGAAGGCACCTCCTTCCCCCCAGTTTGCTCATCTATCTTAAGTGAATACATTCTGTGAAGTTTCGACAAAACAAATTTATGTCTCCCTCCCTCCCTCCCTCCCCTTTTCCAGCAAAAAGAGCAAACTATTATTTGTGATTATATTAAGGATGAAAGTAATGAACATTTACTTTGGTCTACTTCATGCTAATTTATATGTAACGTCTCATTTAATCTTTTCCCAAAGCTGTGAAGTTGCTGTTACTTATCCTGTGTTATTGAAAGGAAAATGAAATCATGTTGAATATTTTGTCCAGGTTACACGAGAGAGCTGAAATCAGGTCAAGTTCACTTCAGAGATCATGTCCTTTCTGCTCTAGTCCACATAGAGGCCTAATAGTCCAATTTCTTGAGGAAATTTATTTCCATATTTGTAACTGGATTTTGTTATAATATTTTAATAAATGGCTAAAAATCTTAAAGAGTCTGTAAAGTTTGTTTTAAAGGTAATGCTTAGTTATTTTACAAATATTAGAAAATACAGTTAAGTAATTATGAAAGAAGAACAGCAAATTTTAGTGTCCAAAGTTGTCTACTGTCAGCATTTTGGTGTATGTTCTCTGACACTTTTCTGTGTGTGTAAAAAATATATATAGATAGATATATACTACATATATATATGTAGATGATGCTGTACATTCTATTTGATACCTTTTTCTTGATAACTTTTGAAAATTAAGATATTGTCAGCATCTTTCCATGTCACGTATCGTAATAGCATAATATTTCATTGATTATATATAGCAAAATCTAATAATTAATCTCTTCATACTGGCTGTGTTTTTCTCTTTCATAACTTAGGCTGCATTAGTTGCCTTGATATGTGTGTATATCTGTAATTATTTCCCAGGGATAACTTTGTAGGACTTAAATTGCTACGTCAAATACTATGGACATTAAAGTTTTGGATAATTATTACTAAATTCTTTTCTAGAAGGTTTACCAGTTTTCATTTTTGAAGATACAATAATTAGAATACTTTAGTATATATTTCAATATCACAGATATTAAGTAGGTCGCTAATATAAATATGGTCACTTGTTAAAGCTATTTGACTTGTTAAAACAAGACTTTTCTCCCTAAGTGATTGAACTCTGCAATATGATTCAGACCAGTGGTTCTTAACCAGGATCAATCTGTGGAGCTTTAAAAAAAATATTTGTGCCTCTGGGCCCCGTCCCGGATTTACTGCATCAGAGTCTTTGTGGATGGGGCCCAGGCATCTCTATTGTATTAAAAGACTGTGCTTAAAATCAGTTATGCTTGTATCACTAGATTCCTAATGTAGCTATGTTGCTAGTGAAATAAGGAGGTTGGAAGAAAACACTGTCACCAATGAAAGGCTCTTACTTGAGGCACAAAACCATCCATGTGAGAGAAGGCATGAGTGAGTGTTGTCTAGAGAAGTTGTCTGGTCTGTGTTTGTGATGTCTTATAGTACTACACAGCAGTGTTGTTATGGCAAAACTGTTGTCTTAATTTTACATATATTTTGCAGGTCTGCAAAAGATGATTTTACATCTATTATTGGGAAATGTCAAGGTAAGAGTTTCCAAAATAGTCAAAAAACGAAAAATTCAAATCTGCAGCAGTTAATTTTTTTTTTTTTTAAACTCATTTGTTGGGCTTCCCTGGTGGTGCAGTGGTTGAGAGTCCGCCTGCCGATGCAGGGGATGTGGGTTCGTGCCCCGGTCCGGGAAGATCCCGCATGCCGCGGAGCGGCTGGGCCCGTGAGCCATGGCCGCTGAGCCTGCGCGTCCGGAGCCTGTGCTCCGCAGCGGGAGGGGCCACAACAGTGAGAGGCCCGCATACCGCAAAAAAAAAAAAAAAATTCCTCATCTATTTATTTATCTATCTATTTATTTGTTTTGGCTGCGTTGGGTCTTTGTTGCTGCACGCGGGCTTTCTCTAGTTGCGGTGCACGGGGGCTACTCTTTGTTGTGGTGCTCGGGCTTCTTATGGTGGCTTGTCTTGTTGCAGAGCATGAGTTCTAGGCGTGCGGGCTTCAGTAGTTGCCGCACATGGGCTCAGTAGTTGTGGCATGTGGGCTTCAGTAGTTGTGGCTCTTGGGCTCCAGAGCGCAGGCTCAGTAGTTGTGGCGCACGGGTTTAGTTGCTCCACGGCATGTGGGATCCTCCCGGACCAGGGATTGAACCCATGTCCCCTGCATCGGCAGGCGGATTCTCAACCTCTGAGTCATCAGGGAGGTCCCAGCAGTTAATATTTCTTAAAAGTCAGAATAGATACTGTTTATTGACAAGGATTATTATGAATTTATTAAAATAATTTTAAAGCATCTTAACTGATTTCTTTCTGTAAATGTTTTGCTTTAAGATCTGAATTTTGGAGAGATTTGAAATTGAAACTGTTTTACAAAAGTCTAAGCCAGTTTTGGGATAAAGTATTTGTATTTTGAATTCAATGCAGAAAATAATTTGTAGATATGTTAGGAGTTGGTCAGTTATAGACTAGTAAAAATAATCTTGCATTTGATCATTGTTTGATATACGATTCAGCAAAAATTTGCTGAGTATCATTTATGTATGTGAACCATTTTCCTGGGTCCTAGGGGTATGATTGTGAGCAAAAAGGCATGGCCACTTACCTCACGAGGCATGTAGACCCTCAACTATATACTTACAGACTGATAAATCTGATGAAGGAAAAATACAGAGCAGAGTGAGAGTTTAACCAGGGGTGTGAGATGAGATTGTTGAGAAAAAGTGACTTTTAAGTGACTTTTGGAAAGCAGCCTTAAGAATGAGTAGAAGGTAGGAGAAGAGGGGGTAGTGTTTTGATCTGTGGGAGCCGTGTATGAAAAGGTAGGAGAACCATATGGGAGGAAAACAATTAAGTGGGTACTGTTACGTAAATGCATATATTACTTATGTTTTATCTACAGGACCTCCAGTTCCATTTGTCTGACCTTGTGTTACTTTAACAGTGGAGTAGTTGTAGGAATCATCATGATGATAATCATAGTCATTGTGGTGATGACACAACCACTTGTCATGTCCTTCCTGTGTGCCAGGCGCTGCATTTAGTGCTTTCCATGGACTTTTCCTCATTTACTTGGAAGAACATAGTATACATATTTTACCTTAAAGCAGCATTAGGGTAGAATAAGTAATCAACAGTGAAAGAGCAAGAAGAAGGGAGGCATTGGTAGCTTTGAAATCTACAAAATGGTGGTAAGACAGAGGATTCCCCCTGGCTGGTTGGTCTTAAGTTCCTGGTCAAATGCAACATTAGTGGCCTAGGGCCAGTTTCCTTCTCATTTTTCTCATTCTCAGCTGTCCAGATGTGTTCAGAAGATTAAAAATCAAATATTTTAAAAATGTTTTCAGTCCCATATAAGTGGTGATATTAATTCTATTAGTATGTCAGAATCGTTATTCTTATACAATTCCACACGTACTAGTGGATAAACTAGTAATAGAGTTCTTATGGAGTTAGCTTTACGTATCGTGTATATTGTCACTTAAAAGCAAATGTGAAATTTCCTACATATTTATATAAATTTACCTCCCCTTCTTAAAATCTGTTCCTTCTGTTCTGTTACTTGGAGAACCCTGTTCCCTCAGTACTCTCGTCAGTGGTACCATTATCTGTACCAAGCCAAAAATCTAGACAGTTTCTCTTCTTTTTCCTTCTCTCCCTTCTTTCTTACTTTGACAAATATTTATTTAGTTGCCACCATATGCCAGACACTATTATCCTAGGCAATCTGTTTACAATGAGGAATAAGACATAGGTTGCCTAGATTTAAGGGTTTATAGTCCATCAGGGGAGAGAGAGAGAAACAATTCTTTGCACTTACACTGAGTGACACAGTGGAGAAGCCTCACCTTATCTTAACTTCACCACATCCTGGGAATCTGTTTAAATGGCTCTTGCTTCCTGCTTGTGCACTTCAGCCATCACAGCCCTGGTTCAGGCTCTTAACATTTTTTTTTACTTGGTTTCTTACAACAGTCTCCTGACAGTGTTTTCTTCTATATGCCCTTCACTTATCAATACTTTACCCTGCTTGTCAAATTGATCATCCTTCATTGAGAATTCTCTCAAGGTTACCCTTCAAGTCTGGCTCCACTGCTTCCTAAATATTAACCTTGGACAAGTTACTTTACCTCTCTGAGCCTCAATTATCTGTAATACAGGCAAAATCCTATAGAATGGGTTGTGGAAAAATGATGTGAGCTAATATATATAAAGCACTTAGCATAATGTCTGACATACTAAGTACTTAGGAGGCATTAAGCTGTTATTACTGTTACTAGTACTGTTATCCTGCCTAAAATCTTTCAATTGTTCACTCTTGACTATAGAATGCAGTTCATATTTTCTAGTTCAGGACACGAGTCAGCCTGTGTCTGTCCTGTAAGATACGCCTGCCGTACGTCCTGTGATCTAGTATAAAGTAGCTTGCAGTTTTCCATCCCCGTTGTATTTTTCATGCCTTGGTACAGATGGTTCCTTTAGCCTAGAAGCTCCCACCTTTATATTTAGTTAATTGGTTCTGCATGTTTTAATTGAAGCATCAGCTTTTTTTGGAAACCTTTTTTTCTTGCCCTCTTCCTCATGATTTGTGCATTTTTCTTAATGTTTCTGTAGGACTTTTTGTACCTATGTCACTTCACTTAGCCTAATCTTTCCTTTTTAAATTGTTGACTTGCTTGTTTGATTCCTAATTAGATTGAAGGCAGGGCTTCTGCCTTACTCAACTTTTTTTTTTTCCCATTCTTAGTGCCTAGCATGGTGTCTGACACATAGAAGGCACACAGTTTTTGACCATATCAAGTGGATAATGGTAGTTGGGAACTATTAAAAAGATTTTTATGAATGAATCTATGAAAAAGTGTATTTGCTTGTTTCTTGTGAGTTAATTTTGTAAGTTCATGAGTGTGTGTGTATGTATGAGTATATATATACATAATACATATATATGTATGTATTTTGTATATATATATAGACATATATAGGTTTATGGGTAATTGTCACGATATTCATGTTTTTTATTCCTGTTGTATGCAAGTGTGTATACATACCACAATTAGAACAATAAGGGTAGGTAGGAAGCCGTATTTGCTTAGTATCTTTTTGAAAGTAAATCGAAGGGGAGTAGTTTTTGTGAATTTCTAAATCGTGGGGCTTTAGCATTTTCTGAATTTGCTTCCTATAGTTTTTTCACCAGCACTTATTAAAGTGGACCAGGCTTGGCTTAAATAATGTATAAGGATCAAGAAGTTCCGAGAAGAATAACTTGGGGGTATTCAATGACCTTTTCTCCCAGTGCGTCCCTTTTGTTGGGTGAGGGCTTGGGGAGCCTGCAGTGGGCTTCTGAGAAGTGGTGCTCAGAATGTTGGAGTGATTCAGACAGACAGCCCCTTTGAGCTTTGACATTAGACCCTACTCTGAATCAGTAAGTAAGCTGAGAAATCTGTAAGTTAACATGAAATTGGGAAGATTAACCCTTCTGTATTTTACACAGATTGTGATATTTGTTAGAGCTTTTACTGTGTACAGTTAATGTGGCAGCATGAGTGAGGTAATAATGCTTTGAGAACTAATGTTTTCTTTTGTTGGCTTCTGAATGTGTGGATTTATGACTTTAATGTGCATTAATGGCTTCTTTCCATTTCATGTCATATGAGGTAGTGATCATTTGCTTATTATCTAACTCATCTTTATGGGAATAACCATATGCCAAATGCCAAATGATATGCCAAATGATATATGCCAAATGATATTTCCTGTGTATGCCTGGAGAGAAGGAGCCGGATGGTTGTTAATGCGTTTCTGAAACTACATATCGTAGTCTGCAAACTGAAATAGGAGCTGTTTGGTTCCACTTTGGTATTTTTCAGTTATTGTTTTATAAAGTATATGCTGTTTGAGGATATTTAAATGTGGATTGCAACTTGTTGGCTATGTTTGCCAGGCCATAAATAGTAATTCAGTCTTCTCTTTCTATCCTGAATAGTGACCTAAAAATAGCACATGGAATTAGACATTTTCAGAGCTGTACTATGTTAATCAGGAGATTTTTCTCGTAGTTCTGATTTTGAGATACCATAAACCAGAGCTTCCCAATGCTGAGCAGCAGCTTGCCTAGTGTAGGTGGGCTGAGGTCCTGTCAGCCCTCCAGTGGTCCGGTGGCCCTCTGACAGCGTGAGCTCAGGCTGGTTGCCTCCAGTTTCCAGCAACCTCATCAATTTACCCATAGGTGCCATACAAACGTGATATTCTACGTGTGTCTTGACATGAAAAAGGTTGGGAAGCACAGACTGTTTGAAGCACCCAGATTTTGAAATGAAACATTTCATTCTTGAACTGTGATTCAGGAATCTCAGGTTATATGGTAACTATTTCTTTTCATAACTTTTTTTTTTTTTTTTTTGGCGGTACTCGGGCCTCTCACTGTTGTGGCCTCCCGTTGCGGAGCACAGGCTCCGGACGCGCAAGCTCAGCGGCCATGGCTCAGGGGCCCAGCCGCTCCGCGGCACATGGGATTTTCCCGGACCGGGGCACGAACCCGTGTC